GTCATTTATAAATACTTGTACTTTCCTGATTGTGGTTGTTGTAGTTCTCCAAGTTTCAGCTCCATACAGTAGAACTGCCTTGACGTTCGTATTGAAGATTCTCACTTTGATATTGGTTGAAAGTTGTTTTGAGTTCCATATGTTCTTCAATTGTAGGAATGCGACCCTTGCTTTGCCGATCCTCGCCTTTACGTCTGCATCGGATCCTCCTTGTTCATCGATGATGCTTCCCAGGTATGTGAAGGACTCTACATCTTCCAGAGTTTCGCCATCAAGTGTGATTGGATTGCTGTTCTCCGCTTTGAATTTGAGGACCTTAGTTTTCCCTTTGTGTATGCTGAGGCCTACTGATGCAGAGACTGCTGCTACACTGGCTGTCTTCATCTGCAGCTGTTCGTGTGTACGTGATAGGAGGGCTAGGTCATCTGCGAAGTCCAAATCGTCTAATTGATTCTGAGCTGTCCATTGTATTCCGTGTTTTCCCTCAGATGTCGAGGTCTTCATAATCCAGTCGACCACCAGAAGAAAGAGGAAGAGAGAGAGAGTAGACAGCCTTGTCCGACTCCGGTCCTTACTTGGAATGCATCTGTCAGCTGTCCTCCATGCACTACTTTGCACTGTATTCCGTCGTATGAGTTCCGGATAATATTGACAATCTTCTCAGGAACTCCGTAGTGTCGAAGAAGTTTCCATAACGTCCTCCTATCTACACTGTCGAATGCCTTTTCATAATCAATGAAGTTGATGTATAATGATGAGTTCCACTCAACTGATTGTTCGACAATGATCCGTAGTGTTGCAATTTGGTCTGTGCACGACCGATCCTTACGGAATCCAGCTTGTTGATCTCGAAGTTGGGCGTCTACTGCATCCTTCATCCGGTTCAGCAACACTCTGTTGAAGACTTTCCCTGGTATTGACAGTAGTGTTATGCCTCTGTAGTTTTCACATTTGCTCAGATCTCCTTTCTTTGGAATCTTGACGAGGTGTCCTTCTTTCCAGTCCATCGGCGCTTGTTCCTCCTCCCAAATCTTTTTGAATAGAAGATAAAGCATGCTTGTGGTTGTTTCGATGTCTGATTTCAGTGCTTCAGCTGGTATGTTGTCGGGTCCTGCTGCTTTCCCGTTCTTGATTTGTCTGACGGCCATTCTAATTTCTTCCGTAGTTGGTGGATTGACATCTATAGGAAGATCTATGTGTGCTGCTTCGATGTCCACTGGATTCATTGAAGCCGGCCTATTCAGCAGTTCCTCGAAGTATTCTACCCATCTGTTACGCTGTTGTTGAATTTCGGTGATTGGCTTGCCTTCTTTGTCTTTGACCGGCCTCTCTGGTTTACTGTAATTCCCTGCTAGTTTCTTCGTTGTATCGTGAAGTTGTTTCATATTTCCTTCTCTAGCAGCTTTTTCTGCCGTCGTTGCTAGTTCTTCCACGTATTTCTTCTTGTCGGCTCTAATGCTCCTCTTCACTTGTTTGTTTGCTTCTATGTATTCAGCTTGTGCTTGGACTTTCTCTGCTCGTGTTCGGCTGTTGTTTATTGCTGTCTTCTTGTTCTTCCTTTCTTTGATCTTGTCCAGTGTTTCTGTAGAGATCCATTCCTTATGATGGTATTTCTTTAGACCGAGAACCTCTTGACACGTTGAAGTTAATGCTTCTTTGATGCTTTTCCAGTTGTCCTCCATAGTAGTTTCTTCTTCTTTCAGTAGATCTTGTAAGGCTTGGAACCTGTTGTTGAGAGCTATCTTGAATTCATTGAGTTTGACAGTATCTCGAAGGAAGGCTGTATTGAACCTTTGTATTGCTGTTTGTCCACTTGTCCAGTTCTTTTTTAGCTTCAGTTTCAAATTGGCTACAACTAGGTGGTGATCTGAAGCTACGTCAGCACCTCTCCTGGTTCTCACATCTTCCATTGTCCTTCGGAATTTTTTGTTGATGCAATTATGATCTATTTGGTTCTCTGTAGTGTGGTCCGGTGATATCCATGTAGCCTTGTGTATACGCTTGTGTGGAAATATTGTGCCTCCTATGACCAATTTGTTGAATGCACATAGATTTGCAAATCTTTCTCCATTTTCGTTTCTTTCTCCCAGTCCATGTCGTCCCATAATATCTTCATATCCAGTGTTGTCTATTCCGACTTTGGCATTTAGATCTCCCATCAGAATAGTTAGGTCCTTCCTTGGGCATTTCTCAATGATTGACTGCAGCCTATTGTAGAATTGATCTTGAATGTCTTCGTTGCTATCATTGGTGGATGCATAACATTGGGTAACATTCATCGTGATTCCGTTCTTTTTTTTGAAGGATGCTTTGATGATTCTGGATCCGTGAGATTCCCATCCTACAAGTGCATTTCGTGCTACTTTGGACAGCATTAGAGCGACTCCCTGAGTGTGTGGAGCATTGTCCTCTTCGTGACCGGAGTATAGCACCATCTCTCCCGTAGCTAGTCTTTTCTGTCCAGCTTGGGTCCAGTGGGTTTCGCTGATTCCCAGTACTGCTAAGTTGTATCTCCTCATTTCCATTGATATTTGACTGGTCTTCCCGGTTTCCCACATTGTTCGAATGTTCCATGTACCTATAAAAATTTTTGCTCTGGTTGTTAGAAGGGGCATCGGCCTCGTGGCTTCCGAAGGAACTCGGCTTTCACCATGAAGCGTCATAATTCTTCTAAATGAAGACCTTCTAACTCCCAGGGCAGAGTTAAAATGGTTTGGATTATTTTTTCTGGTAAGCGTTTTTTAGCGAGTTAGTTTTCTATGGGATGGGGACGCTAACCCCATGCCCAACCCTCCTCCTTTACCCGGGCTTGGGACCGGCAGTAACCCTATAAGAGCTACAGGCGGAGTTCAACTGCAACTTAGACTTCATAATTTAATTTTACTAAGCAGAGGTTTCATATGTAGATATGTGTAAGTAAAGAGAATGTTTTTGATTAATTCATGTATCATAATTATTTGGATAAGACGACAATTGGGGCGAGACTATAATTAATGGATAAACTAATCCGATATACTCTTGGATTTTCGTGTGAAATTCATGAATCCATATGACAAAATATAATTTTAGCATTATAGCTGATGTCAGTTTATGATAAATATCTTGAATGTAATTTCGAAATCCTAACTTTTAACTTTAAATTCTAATCCCGATTCCCCACACACTATAATAATTGGTTGGATTTTCTCAAGGTCACCATAATCTAGCTCAAAGACTGCTTTTAAATTCTAATCTCTCCTTCATCAATTCTAGTTTGCCGTGTTGCTTCACGTTATTTGTACTAGTTGTATTATTTTTATTTTGAAAACAAACAAAACGTGGACGGTAACATACACTATACGTGTTTTGAGTTTAGTCTTGCCACGACTATAAAAGATAATTTGGCGAATTTCTTAGAAATTATATGTGTGGGCAAACTGTTTCTTACATCAATATTTAACGCTCGATATGACTGAACCCCATGAGTCATGACTTTTTACTAAAAATATGGGGATTAACTAACGAAATTAATCATTGGTGAGCACATGACTATTATTATTGTAATTGGTTGTTAGAGATTGTTGAGTTCGATGGGCGAAATTGATGAGCTTCATACTCAGACGAAACGGATGTCCCATGCTTTCCAGTTGAATTTTATTGTCATATCATTTACTTGTGCGAAAGGATTACCAATTAAAATCGTTCCAACTTTAGTTATAGAAATTAACAGTGAAGTAGTCAGTCAGTAACAACATGGAACTTTGTACGTACGTACATCAGTTCGAGTTGCCACACCACCTTAGCACAGAGATGCAGTTATCGATTCAAATTTCGTAGTGGTAGTAAGAGTATAAGCAGTAATCCGAAAGATTAGTGTTTGAAGATGTTATCCAAGGAGTATGATTTAGTGAATTAAGTTTGGAAAAAAATAAAGGACATGAAGAATTCAGAAGATTAGAATTTGGGAGAACACAAAGAGTGGATTCACCTGCGCCATTGCAAACCATTTTGAGCCATGTCATTCAGGGTCTCTAACCATCGGTTGCTATCATCTCGCGGTCCCCAACCAGGTAGTCTACACCTACCAATATGATTTTCTACTTGTCAGTGACTTCATGGACTTGTGCCATGTTTTGGTCTGGCCGCCACTACCTTTCTTCCAACCTTCTCTTATACCACTGAACATCGCACATCGAGGCAGTCGGTGGTCGGGCATACGTAACACATGTCTCAGCCATCTCAACTGATGAAGTTTCACTACTTCATCATTTGATTTGCCATTTTTACCTAGTATCCGTTTCCTAACAACTGCGTTACTTACTCGATGGTCCCATGATATACGAGCAATGTTTCGAAGAAACCTATGATCAAATACTAGTAACCTATGAATATCCTCTACTCTTACCGGCCATGTTTCACTGCCATAAAGTAGGACGGAACGAACTGCTGCGCAGTAAACATGTCCTTTGGTTGATAGACGGACACCTCGCCTACGTCATAAATGACGCAAGTTGGCAAAAGCTAGTCGAGCCTTCAGTATCCGTGCTGAGATTTCGTTACACACCAGACCACAAGGGCTGATGAGACTTCCAAGATAAGTGAAGCGGTCGACACGCTCAATTACTTCACTCCCTATCATTAGTTCGGGTGTCAATGTAACCCAATCCTGAAGCAACATTTTGCATTTCGAGGGAGAGAATCACATCCCGAACATGCTTGCATTGTTGCTTAGAATGGTCAGAAGACTCTGCATTTTGTCAGCGTCTTCATCAAATATAACTATATCATCGGCATATTCTAAGTCAGCAAGTGAATCTCCCGGTAAAATTTCAACCCCTGGATATTTTGACGAAGAAAGTGTTATCTCTAAAAGCACATCAACGATGAAAATTAAACAAGAATGGAGAGAGTGGACAGCTCTGTTAACAGGATAGTAAGATATTAAATAAATGACAACAATAGTATTAAAGAAACAAGTAAATATATACAGTATTAGAAGTTTATTCCGATTGCATAAAAGATTAATACAAATCAGATTCAGAATTAATCCAATTTGTATTATCAGTTGGTTTATGAATTAAAATATGTTCTGGATGAAAGTGCTTTTGTGTAGTTTGGAGAGAAGTGTGATTGTAATCATCTTCATTATTTCGATTATTTATAGACCGACCATTAGTGATTGATTTTTGCTCTTGACTTGAAAAATCTTTATTACATAACTCATGGTTATGTACTCTATCTAAACCATTTACCATAAGATAATGTACAATATAGAATAATAAAGGGATTGGTTGTTCAATTAATTCTGTAGAAGATTTTTGATTATTTAATGGGTTTTCGCCATTATTATTATTATTATTTTTAAGAATTAACGATTTAATATTTACAGTTGGTTTAATTTGTAATGTTTGACATAGGAATTGCCTAGGTAAATTATGTAAATTACCATGACCGGACTCCTGACGAAAAACAGATTCTGTAAATGATAAACTGAAAAAAATAGAGAGAAATTAAGAAAATAATAAATATATAAACAGTATCATATATATTTTGTTTGTATGTAATAATGGTATTTAATTGAGATCATGAACCGATTAATGTTAGACCACCATTGAAAACCTGAAAGCACTGGACGGCCGTTTCGACCTATTGTGGGACTCCCACAAGCCGGATCGTGGATGCGCACTGCTGAGGAGCCCCACAATAGGACGAAATGGCCGTCCAGTGCTTCCAGATTTTCAATGGTGATCTAACATCAATCGGTTCATGATCTCAATCAAAAACTTAACAATCTCCACAACCCCTAAACTGATAATGGTATTTAGACGGTGAAAAATGTTTTTTTTTCATATTCAAAAGAAAAGTAAATATTTGATATATTGACTTCATTTACTTGATGTTTTTTGTATGTAAATTGATTTGTGATAGATGGTTGGATACCCTAGACTCTTAGGCTTTGTGCTAGCTAGTTAATCATAAAAAAAAACATTGTTCATTTCCTATTGAATTAACACTTTACATGAAATTCGAGCCCATATCATTCAGTTTGATAGTCAGAGGAATTACCACTGAACTATTCATGCCTACAACTGACGTGCTGTAGGATTGTGATTTTTATACTGATGGATCATTGACTAGTGACTAATGTTACAATGTTACAGTCTTTACTACAAGTTGATTCCTATCAATTAAGGTGAATCAACTTTCTATGTGAAGATTAGTAATGTTACTCGATTGAAAATCAAATGATTTACAACCACTAAGCTACTCTATTCCTTTCTACACAAAAAGATATATACACTTTTAGTGAATTATCAGACAAAGGTGGATTTCAACCAGGTCTGTTGTGAGATATCAACTCACTGAAGACAGTGATGTACGGTGGCGCATTTTCATCGATTGGTTGGAGTTAGACATTAACACCGTTGAATCTAGAGGTTAAGAGCTTGCGCGCGAGACTGGTAGGTCCTGGGTTCGAATCTCATGGGGCTGGAATCGTGGATGCGCACTGCTGAGGAGTCCCATACTAGGGTGAAACGGCAGTCCAGTGCTTCCAGATTTTCCATGGTTGTCTAGCTTCAATTGACTCATGATTTCAACTATTGAGATAAATATGTGTGGACATTATGAACGTAGTATCACCAATAATACATCATAAAGCAACAAAAACACACACGATATCTATTTATCAAATTTTGGCACTGGTGATTTGATGACCAATCGAATAAACAAAGTTACAACTTGTTTACACAATCAACCATCAAATCCCAATCAAACAGATTTCAGAACATATAGCCACTGGTTAACTGACTAAGTAAATATATTCAGGAATCAAAATTATTATGTATCCATAAAATGTTCAACTCAGATTAAAATCTATAAAAGTTGTCAGATGTAATAGGACTGTGTTCACACACCTCAGAGTTTGTGCTGATGATATTTTATAAGAATATCCCTAAATATTTACGATAAGAGAGTTAAGAGAACACAAAACTAAAAAGAATATATATAGGCAGTATTTTTGACATTACTTTTCAAAGTTTAAATATTCAATTATTAATTCATTAATTAGTAATTTGATATTTGAATGTATATCTGAAGCAGGAGATGTTTTCAATTCAGGTGATTGATTCTTTATTTTTTTAAAAATCTTCTTCAATATATCAGCTTTAATTTCACCTAAAAATCCATCATCATTTAGGGCTGTTCTCAAATAATTCTTTAAATCATCGTTAGAGGTCATTTCCATCTAAATGAAATCAAATGAAGTCAATTTAAAATGAAGATTTAAAAAAATGTTATTTGGGCATATAGTAACAACAAAAATAACAAAATTTAATTCGAAACAACTTTTGATTACAGATTCAAATTGATATTACTTGGGATTATTTTATTGGAAAAAAACTGTTTCTCAGAAAATTTCAAGATTTTTCAATCAGACAAATAGAAAAATTACAGTTGCTTGTGATTTACAAACAACAACAATAATGATTTATACGAATATTCGTCAAGATTAGAACGAATAGTTTGACAGTAATTGAGCGTCGAACAGAGAGAAGTCATTATGTGTGAAAATTATATTTGAAATATTCTCAGCGATTGAAATTTAACTAATTCCAACGTTTCGTCCAGCTGACTTGTCTGGACTTCTTCAGGGTAATAATCAGACAAGTTAGCTGGACAAAAAGTTGGAATTAGTTGAATTTCAATCGCTGAGAATATTTCAAATATAATTTTCACATATAATGAACAATAATGATTGTTTGAAAAAAATAGGGTTTACATGTTACATATTAGATTCACAGATCACAGGTAGATTGGTTTGTGCAAGAAAATCGTCCATACAGTTTTTTGCTATGAGGTTTGATATATATATATATATATATATATATATATATATATATATATACTGTATGGGGCGGAAACCTGAAGAACTACGAAAGCCATCATCCAGAAGATATCGGTGTTTATCCCCAGGTGTTTATCAACACCTGTCTACACAAAGCACTTAGGATCCGTTGACCAGAGACAAAAATTTGTTCTCATTTTAAATTTTTGTATCCTAAATATACTTTCAGCTGTACTAAATTTAAATTATAAGTCAACATTCTTTCGTTTTCATAAACAGATCAGATAGATAAGGAAGAGTATGATCACGAAGAGTAATATCCTTCATAATACTCTTCACCGTGACATATCACTTATATGATTTAATACAAAATTAAACTTTGGAGGATATCGACTTAAGGTAAAGCACGAAATCGCACTCACAAAACGCATGAGTATATTTGTAGAACTAGAGTCTGTAACCTGTGGAGTACACTGCCGAAAGCGATAGTGACGACATACCTGTATACCATAAACTAATTTTATATGCTATATCTGAAAGACACTACTCTGAGTACCAATGTTTACCTACTCTTATAACCAGTCCTCAGTAATATGGATAGTTATCCGGTTCAAATAGACCAGTCCTTGAAGTGTGCTTTCTTGTGGACACCCAGTTTCCTTTTGAAAGTGTTCACCACTTGTTTTAGTAAGGGGTTCCAGTCTTCGACCACGCAGTGAGAAGTGTGTGGAGAGTCTTTTCCTAGTATTTCCTTTCTGAGACATTCATATATAAACAAGGAAAACCCGAATATTAAATATACCATTGTCAACTATGTTGATTATAGTACTTATTTCACGAGCGTAACTATTCACTCGTATATATAGTATATTTTTTGTATAGATATTAGTACTCCGTCTTTATGTGCTTTCATTTCTTATACATTATTTATTTTATACAACAAGCTGAGTTGCATTAAACTATACTGTCTCAGGTCCACAATCCCCATCGGTTCATTTATTTGCACCTTCTGTTGTCTTGCCGATACATAGGTTCCCAATCTCCCTATTTTCGTGAACATATTTACGGTTTTGGGGAAATTTTCGGTTTTCCCCAATATTTCCCCAGAATTTTATAATACTTAGGGGTTTCTCCCCAAAGTTTGGGGAAAACTACCAAACATTTCACGACTTTGTGGAAAATCCCAAAATTTACCTAAAATTCCCCAAAGTTTTGCCAATATAGGGAAACTAGGTTTCCATGAAATATAATCTTACTGTTACATTTCGTGCTTTATATTTGAAATCAACGATCTAAGTGAGACTAATTGAAGTATCATACACAAAATTAAATAGAGGATCAGTATGCTTTATTAAGAATTGAGGTGCCACCCCACTCTTCTTATTGTGGGGAAATTTTGAGGATTTTTTTAGTAAATTTTGTTGTTTTCCCCAGAGTTTATTGAATCCCAACAGGGTTTTTTAAATCTATTGTTATGACAATATATTATTGTGAGTAATTTCCTAGAGTCAAACGATCCTGATCCCAAAATCAGACACGCACATGATTTTAAGAAACTCGGAGAGCACATCCGTAGCATATTACCAGATAACTGTAAAGGGGTTCAGGTCAAAAAATTGATTAGGTTAAGTAAGAGGACCAACGATAGTGTTGAACCCCGACCATATAGACTCCTTAAGGTAATACTACGGTCAGAGATGCAAAGTGATCTTCTGTTAAGTAGTGCCCGTGGTCACGACAATACCGACATTCGAATAAGACCTGATATGTCTCTTAAAGATAGAATAAAGAGGAAGACGGCACTAGCTGAACTAGAGACCCGTCGACAAAACGGTGAGGAAAATCTCTGATCAGTGGGTTTTCGAAAAGTCAGGCCTTGGAAGCGAATGCCACCAGGGACTGTGTGGATAGGCCGCTCTCCCTAGGATTTTTATATGCAAACGCTCATAGTCTAAGAAATTAATCCTAAGAACCAGTAGCATTAGTGGAAAAATTAAGGTCATTCATCGTAGCTTTGATTGAAGCTTGGTTAGTCCATGACTTCGACATTACTCCAGAATCATCCGGATATCACTACCTAAGAAGTGGTAGACATAGATGTAGGAAAGTAGGTGGCGTTATTCTCTACATAGCCAATAATATAAATATCCTCTCCTGTTTGCGAATCCCATGAAAGTGGAACGTGTGAAGTCATTAGCTGTGAGCTCACTATCGGAGGTTGTACATCTATACTTACTGTCATCTATCGCAGCCCAATCTACTTTCCTGATGACTTCATTTTAGAGCAGATTCAGCTATGGAGTGCAAATGACAAATGACTGATAATAGGAAACTTTAATACACCTGATATTAGTTGGACTGAGATGACCACGGAAGGATCTATAAACCGCTTTGATAGTAGGTTCCTGATAACAATAATGGAGCATGCATTAGTGCAGCATGTATCCAAACCCACACGTTTTGGTGCAAACTATGGCTTTTCTCTGTTGGACTTGGTAATCACTCATGGTACCTGGTACCACGTAGACCAAATAACAGTCCACCAAGGATAACTAAACAAGTCAAAACACTTCTCAGACGTAAGAAAAATCACTGGAATACGTTCATCTCTACTGACTTAGAACAGTACAGATCCATTTATTGTAAGATTATGAATGCCTGTAAAGCGTTAATAAGTAAGACTGGACGATCATATGAAAAACAATTGGTTAAGGATTGTAAATATAGTCCGAAACGGTTGTTCTTGTATATAAAAAAAGTGAACTCAGAGAAGTGATGGGATTCTCTCACTTTTGGCACAAGAAAATCATATATTAGAAGGAAGCAATACCGAAAAGGCTGAAGCTTTGTAGGAATATTTCAGCAAAGTGTTTTCTATCAATAAGGAGGAACGACCAACGATTCATTATGATTGTGGCGGCTTGTTGATGGGCCATGTAGTTATTAAGAAAGGTACTGTCTTAAGACTACCTCAGTATCTCATACCTGATAAGTCCAGTGGACCTGATGATATTCATCCTAGGATTATGAAAGCCATATCAGATGTAGTTGCTGAACCTTTAGCGATACTATTTGATATATCTTTGTGGCGGTCCAGACTGCCCAGAGACTGGAAAGACACTATAATTGGTCCAGTGTTTAAGGCTGAGAGTTGGGATTTAGTTAGTAATTATAGACCCGTTAGCTTAACTAGTGCAGTTGTAAAACTGATGGGAAAAATCATTTGGATAGTTGTAATAAACTATGTGGAAATGCACAGTCTTTTATCCGGGGAATACTATGGTTTTCGGAAGGGCTTATCACGTTTGACAATTTCCTTCACTTCAAGAGAAGATTGGGCTGCTGCAAAATATCAAAATATTCCTGTAGATGTGATTTTCATGGATCTAAGTAAGGCGTTCGATATGGTCTCCCATTCTGGTCTTAAATTCAAACTGGAAAGTTTTGGAGTTCATCATATGGTCATAGACTGGATAAGAGACATTTTCCATATAGAAGGCAGAGGATAAGGGTAAATGAAGCTCTTTCATCGTGGGTACCTGTAAAAAGTGGAGTTCCTTAAGGCACGATCCTTGGTTATCTTCTCTTTTTACTTTATGTAAATAAATTACCAACTGTAGCTAAATTATCCGTTCTACACTTCGCCGATGACATAAAGATTTAGAGATCCATACACAGCATGTCAAATAGAATGGTATTACAGAATGATCTAAACTCATTGGTGGCATGGTTGGACAGGTGGTCACTAGAAGTAAATCATAATAATAGTGTGGTGATGCAACTAAATAACTATGATGAATCGTATCACTACACAATATCTGGATTCGTGCTACCCAAAGTAAGAAACTATAAACATTTAGGAGTCATATTAAGCAGTGATCTCAGAACAACTAGTCACTGTAAGGCTGCTGCTGCGAAAGGCTATGAGGTATTATGGTCAATTCGTAGGTCTTTCCAGTATTTAGATGATGAAACCCAGGCTCCCAACTTTGGGGAAATGAGAAAAAAAACCCAAAATTTCCCCAAAGCTGGCAGCTTGGGAGTGTTTAGATTACTATACCCGATTTAGGTGCGACCACATTTAGAATACGGGACTCAAGCAGCGTGTCCTTGTTTCAAATATGAAGCAGATATGCTAGAAAGAGTCCAACGACGAGCTACTAAGATGGTACAAGGTCTATCTGGCCTATCCTATGAAAACAGACTGAGACACCTGAACTTATTTCCGTTATCTTACCATATAATACGGGGTGATCTAATATTGGCTTATCGTATACTGAACGATGACCTTGGTATTAACATGCTTTATCTTTTACTTCCTTCTAGGACTGATCATTTGAGAGGAGATTCGAAGAAAGTTCAAAAACCGAGATCAACTCGTTTACGTCTGAATTTTTTTC